TTGGCCAATTAATTAAAAATAAATTTGTCTTTTTCATTCGGTAATTTTACAGTTTATGATGGCATAGCAGTCAAAAATTGGACATACGTGTATATGTAAAGCCCAAATTCTGGATTGTGTCAGTGGGGGGTGGGTCTTTCAAACCTCCTGAACTCCCGCTGGCTACGGGCCTGTACAATGATAACCTTTCATGGAGATTTTTGGAAACCTTGCACTGCGCTAAAACAATTCTTAAGAGTTTTACAATTAAATTTTTTATTATACCTTTCACATGAAGAGAAATGGTTTATTCATAAACTGTTTGCTGTGAGGTTCTGTGAAGAAGTTATTCAGTGGTTCCTCTTTGGCATCACAGCAAAATCCCCCTTTTGGAATCTTTATTTTTAAGAGTGAAGAAAGAAATGCATATTACAGCAACTTGAGTGTGAATGAATATGTTTTGTGAATGAACTATGTTGTGACAAATAAAAAGCATTAAAGAAACAGAAATGTGCACACATCTAGGATTTTTCAAAGACGGGTGCTCAATCAAAAACAAACACTGAGTCAAAAAAAAGAAAATTGAAACACTGCAGCTTTAGCTCTCAAAAGTTAAAATAAAAAGCATTTACCCATTAGTTTATATAAGAACATGTTTTGCTTTGCAGGAAACCACCCAAGTGCCCAGCAGATACATTTTTTTCAAAGATGAGTCAGCAACAGTGAGAGTACATTACTGGCAGACTTACAGAATATGCTTAAAAAATGCAGCTCTGATATCAGTCCTGTACAGTTTACAGTAATGCACCTGTACTGGAGCTTCCTAGGTTTCTTGTTAGATAGGTCTGAATGTAATGAGGCAAAAACTAAATAAAAATAAAAAAGCATATATATATTTCAAATTTAAAAAAAATATATATTTTTATTAACCATGTGGAAATTGTCGAAGAACAGTTGGATGCTGCTTTATAATTGGCTCTTTAAGCTGTAGAACTATTTTATTGCTATAAACCCAATCATACGTAATCAAAGAGCTTTTGAAAACAATAATTGTAAAAGAAAGGCAAAACAATTTTGGACAAACCATTATGTATTTAACACTGTAAATACATTCCATACAATATGCAAATGGCCGGCAAGCTAATCTGAAATTGGCAGTAAAACAAGTCTGCATGCATTGCCAGAAAATGCATATGGTCCTCTATTATGAGTCATGGGCTTGGTTGCTATTGTGTACAATCAAATATTTATGTGATAGACTACCTTTATAATTACAAAATGAGTAAATATCTTCAGTGGCATCCAAAAAGGTCAGCCCGTGTTTAAAACGTTTCGTTATTACCAAACTATCCACTCAGAATGAATGAAATACAGGTAGCTAAAATGATTCTGCAATAGTTTCACTTTCATTGTGAATTATGAGGACTTTCCCATAATCACTTTCATTTACGTAAACAAGGGGTCCTTAGGCTATAATTTCTCATGGTAACTAAAAATAAACCTTCGAGAAGCATCTTGTTTATTTATTTACAGGTTCCTTGGGCCTAGCATTCAACCATTTTGGGGTTTCTGTATAACTCAAGATACGCACAACACTGCACCCTAGTGTTCATATGCAGTGTTTCTATCATTATAATAATGTTTTATGTGTGAATATAAAAAAGAAAAAAGGCCTTTTACAGAACGGTTTTATTTTCGAAAAATTTGTTTGACACATTTCTGTTTTTAATTTTGTAGCTGATTATTGACTTTGTAAAATAAGGGGAAGAAAGAAGACGTTAACGGCAGTTACAATGTCAGCGTTTAACTAACTTTACTAACCTTTAACAGAAAGTAATTATTAAAAACATGCATTTTTGTCATGCCATAACTATAACTGTGATATTCAGCCCATTCAAACAAATCTTACCAAGAAAAGATTAAAAGGCAGGTTCCACCGAGATTTGAACTCGGATCGCTGGATTCAGAGTCCAGAGTGCTAACCATTACACCATGGAACCGCTCTGACGCGAATAGGAAATCTAGCCGTTTTGACTCTAATTTCCTCAGCTGTAAAGCGATGAATAATGTTGCTTGTTTGTTTCCTTCTAACCACTGTCACCTAGCTGCACGACCTCAACAACACACGCTTAGACGCCAAATTTAAAAATAAATGCGAAGAACATAAGCGTTTGCGTCTTATGTCACTGCATGTCAAACAAACATATTTCGAAGTCTCTTGAGATTCTACAGAACATCATCACAACATCAGCAACATCACACAAACATGCAGTTGTAGTTTTAACGGTAAAGATCATGTGTGAAATAAGTAATGTTAGCTTGACAGCTGGCAGTGTTTGGAGAAAATCATTAAAAAGATGTAAACATAGATGTAAACATAAAAAAGCATTGGTATAAATTAAACAAACAATCCCATAATTTAGGTAGTACATTCAAGTATTTATACAACTTAATTACATTTTTGTTTAAAAACACTGCAAAGATTAAAAGAAAAAAGATTGATCTAATATAAAAAGATAAATATGCACTGAAATGAAATTACAATCTAATAATCTAATAATGAAATGCAATAAAATAATATTACAATCTAAATATAAATTACAATATAAATATAGTAATAAATACATATAAATTCTGATTAAGTCAAATAAATAAATGACCAAAAACTGATTAAAATGAATAAACAATAAAAAGATTATAAGAGAACAATACATACAAATTGGCAATACATGTAAATAAATTTGCAATTAAATACAAAAATGCAGAAAATGTGTAATAATAATAAGCTATTTAAGAAATAAATTATTATATTATTCACTCATTATCTTTTCAGCTTAGTCCTTTTATTAATCAGGGGTCGCCACAGTGGAATGTACTGCCAACTTATCCAGCTTATGTTTTATGTAGTGTATGCCCTTCCAGCCAAAACCCAACACTGGGAAACACCCACACACTTTTGTATTCACACACATATGGCCAATATACTTATTCAGTTCACCTAGGGCGCATGTCTTTAGACTGTGGGGAAAACCAGAGCACTCAGAGGAAAGCCTCACAAACACAGGGAGAACTTGCAAACTCCATTAAGAAGTGCCAACTGACCCAGCCAGGGCTCAAACTTGTGACCTTCTTGCTTTGAGGCGATCGTTCAACCCACTGTGCCACCATGCTGCTTATCTCTGAGCATAGTAGCTATTTAAGAATGGTGGTCCCTTTTAAAGGGATAGTTCACACAAAAATGTCTTCATCATTTACTCAAATTCACATCAACAATTCATAGTTTTCCTTTCCCCTTTCACATATCGATTCTCAATATCGCTACTATCTGTGACATTGTTTTCTACAGTAGGAAGGAACATGAGCATTGTCTGATTAATGAGCAGCAAATAATTATGTCTGGGCAAAGGTGTTTATTTCCGTCAGCATTGTGGAGTGAATGTACCACTAAACTTGTATGTGGCTCATACCAACAATTTTCCTCCTGCTTTCACACACACAGCAGAATTCCTGCTATTTCCTGGTCATGTTACAACTTCTCATTGCAAAAAAAAAAAAAAAAGGAACACAATTTCTGGCATTTTAAAAGGGCCTGTTCACACATGATCTCTTTACTGCAATTTACCAGTACCAGAAAAAGATTGTATATGTAAAAGCGGCCATTAACATCCAAAACATGAGCTGTATATTGTACAATTAAAATGATAACAATTATTAAGTTATTCACCTAAAAATATGAGTAAATAAGAAAAAATAAGGCACAATAAAATACTGTAAAATTTATAGTAAATGCTGTAGTATTGTACTGCAGTAAAATACTTGAATTACAATCTGTTTTGGTTACTCTATAGTTGCTCTTGTAACACGAAAAATATGCTAATATAAGCAAACGACACAAATACTGTAGTTTTCCACAACGATATGTTACATTATAGTACAATACACCACCACAGTTTGCTGTATTAAAAATAATTTATACTAAAGTATTCATGACAGTTTATCAGATGACAATTAACATTACAGCTTACTGAAGCATTCCCTATCTAAGTGTTGTAAATATTATAATATATACTGTTGAATATACTTTACTAGAAAAGGCTATGGAACAATGTAGTTTTTATTATATACTAATATAGTACTTTTTCACGTGGAATGAATTTATTACAAAATAGATACAAGTGAAAAAAAATAAAGAAAGAAAATACGGGCAATAAGCGTGTTACAATGTAACAAATGAAACCAAATATTTTTCTCTCTTTACAGTATAAATTATGGAGTCAGATCAGTCTAAAAAAATACATTTACAAAATAAGATTCATACATGCATAGAACAATTCACATTTACAAAATCAAATTTGGATTTACAAACACAAAATTTGTGATTTTACAAGTAAAAATCATAATATTTTTGCCAAATGAATTGGCTTTGCGTATATATGAATCGTTTTTTGAACTTAGGAATCAAATTTGTGCATTTATGAATCATGTTTTGTACTTACGAACTGGATTTGTGCATTTATGAATCATGTTTTGTACTTACGAACTGGATTTGTGCATTTATGAATCATGTTTTGTACTTACGAACTGGATTTGTGTATTTATGAATCATGTTTTGAATTCAATAATTGAATTTGTGCATTTATAAATTGTGTTTTGAATTTGAATTCTATTTATAAATTGTGTTTTAAATTTATGAATTGGATTTATGTATTTACGAATTGTGTTTAGAACATACAAATTGGATTTTGTAAATGTGTATTGTTTTGTGAATATATGAATCATATTTTGTAAATGTATTATTTTTGAGACTGATCTGGCTCCATAATAAATTGGCTCAATTGAGACGGTGGTTCCTTACAAAAACATATGTCTTATACTTCATTATATAAAATGCCCTTGGGGAACAGAAATAATACACAATGAATAAAAATAATAAATAATCCTGCTTTTATTTTGACAGTCTGTAAGGGCCCTCACCCGGAACACTTGAGGAGATGTTCTCTGGTTCGCCTGCTCGCTAAGCCGTTAGCATGGCTACTGCCTAATCACAGACAGACTGCAGTGCCGCAGCGGAGAGGACAGCGACGGGTCGCCTCCACTTTCCTTCACATTCTTCCATTGTTTGCGCTTTTGTTTTGATCGAGATGGGGACACGAGACGACGAATACGACTACTTGTTTAAAGGTAAGCACGTAATACTTTTGTCGCAACTGTACAAGTTAAAGCGTCTCCGATCATCGTGGTTATTGTTAGTTAGTGTGGTTTTATATTAAACACTAAAGGCCAGCTAACCGGCTAGCTCACTTCGAGCAGCCCAAACAAACTCCTGCTCTTCGACTGGAGTAGCGTATTTGAGTCTGTATCGTTATATGTATAATATTATTTAGTTACTGTGCATTGGGTTAATATAGATGTTGGTTAGCATAAAAAACACAGTTTTCCAGAGATCCGACCACACCTTGAAGCGGCTAGCTTAAGTTAGCTGACACTGTCGCTGGATGAGTTTAACGGAGCAGGCGGAAATGGGAAACGGCCTGTATTCCCGAATGTTTTTTCAAGCCTGTGTGTCTTTGTTGTTTTTTTTGGCCATAATATATTTTGATATACTTAAACCACCGTTCGCTGTCATTATATCTTAGTCCATATACTAAAACTGAACGGTGACCGACGCTGTCATGACGTTTAACATCTCCTTTTGTATTCCACCGAGATAAATAACGTCATATGACATTGAAGCAACTTGAACAACGAAGGAATTTCTTCAATTTGGATGAACTGTTCTTTTAAATAGATAATTATTTGTGTCAGTTTGTTGTCTTGGAAGTAAATACTAGATGTCAGGTGATGCGGCCTGTTTTTCTCGAATATGTTGCTCATCGTTTTTTTTCATTAAGCAAATGTGGAGTTTCTATCATTTGGAGTAAGCTCTTGAAACAATCAGTTTAGTCATATTTGCAGCACATTTGACTCATTACGTATGTTTTCACTTCTGTGAGACTCATGTTAGTCATTAAAGAAGTTCTGTGCTGTCACGTGAATCGTAGTGATAGTAAACTACCTCTACCTGTCTTCACGTAAGACAGAACCACTCGGAAATCTCCACCAGTTTCTGTCATAACAAAATGTCAAAAAATGCCACCAAAAATGGTAATCTCACCCACATTGTGAAATAAATAAATAAATATCTTCTGCCATTTATTTAAATGTACTTCTCTCAAATGATGTTGTGTGGTGTGTTGTGACATAGAGCTCTGAGTGTAAAGAGGTTTGTTCCTTTATTTAATGTAGACAGAAGTGTTTGTGTAAAGAGTCATTTAACTGAAATATTAAAATGTGGCAATCGTTTACTCACCCTCATGTCATTCAAACCAATGTTTCCATTCATCTTTGAATTGAAAATAAATTTGACAGATCCCTTCACTGAAAGTCCATCTAATAAAAACTGTCAATTTATGAAATTCATAAGTAGATCTGGCACGATAACCGTTTTCAAGGTATACTGTGGTTTAGAAAAGGTTTTGAAACTGCCAAAATATTCTGCTATACCATTTAAGATATATTATATAAGATTTTTTTTAAACATTTTTTTTTCGAAGATGCTGTTTTGATTCGTAAAGAAATCTGTGTTTTTGAAACTTATGAGTACAGCAGAAGTCTGTCTGTGCCAATAGCCTAGTGGTGAAGTGTGCTGACATTGCACCATGGTGCTCATGTCGACCCGAGTTCAATTCCTGGCTCAAGGTCCTTTGCTGACCCTTCCCCTCTCTGCTCCCGATACTTTCCTGTCTGCAAACTTTACTGTCCTTTCAAATAAAAGTGAAAAAACCCTAAAAAATAACTATAAAAAAGGAATACAGCAGAAGTCAATGGCTGCCTCCGAAATCGCCTACTACTCAGTAGATACTGCATTTGAATTTAAATGTACTACTAAATGTGCTGTTAAAAAAGTATATTCTGTACATTATGAATGGAACTCGGACGTACTACATCCTCCATTTTGTCATGATTACGTGACCTACCTGTGTAAGTTGCGTCGCTTCACTCTCATTCATAAATTCTCCTACAGGGCATTATGAGATAGAATGCACACTTCCGAGGTAATCTGGGTATTCTCGCATATAATGTTTTTTGAATTCTATGAATTTGGTCACACTGGTCCGGTCTCATACTGTTTTAGCATAATTTATGATATAGTAGTATGCAAATTCGGTCACAACCAATGATCCATTTGAATTTAGCCTGACATGTTTACAGTTCCAAAATATTTTAAATATTTCTTAAAATAAAATGATGTATTGTGTTCAGAGGGGGAAAAGTTTTTGTTTTTTTACCCAGACATTTAAAAAGAATATATTTTAGAGCAGTGATCACTATACTGTGAAACCGTGATGTTTTATCCAAGATTATCATATCACCAGAATCTTACACCAGCCCATGCCTGTTCATTAGCACTCTAAATTTATCAGGCTCTTTAATCCAGTGCTTTTGAAGAGAAGTTATTGTTTTATATGATGAACCCATTTTGATTGGTTGTCATATTTTAATACTGACAGACATGCATATTTAGAGTCAATGAAATATGGTAAACAAACTGTCAACATTTTGATAAAATTCTCATGTTTTACGTAGAAAGTTTGAAGTTGAATTGTGAAGCATATCAGAAGTCTTGTATGCTGAAAAATGACTATGTAAAATGTAGTTTCTTTTTTGAGTTTTTGGGCTCCAAAATTTGTTAAACAATGAATTGTATGTGTGGAATTAAGTAAAATTATATATATTTTTTTTAATGCTTGCTTTTCTTGAAAACATGTAAATAGTTGATTTCCTATCACAGTTTCTCTATTGTTAGAGTGTGAATGTCATTTTGAGTAGAAAATGAACTGCAGATGTCATAAACTCAATTTATAATACCTGACAACAACAGCAATGAAATGGCAGTGTAAATTTACCTGGAAAACTGAAAAGTGCAAAATGCTCCAGGGTGTGTTGGGAACAACAGTTTCAGAAAGTTGATATTTATTGTTATTGCTTTCATATATATTTGGGAGTCACGACCAAAACAACAAAGGATTCAAAGAAAAATATACTTTTTAGAAATTTCATTGAGCAGTAATTTAGAATATTGATTTTCATTGCTGAATTTATTGTTTTATGTTTTTTTATGTTTTAGTATTTTCTTCATCACAGAATCGTTTATTTAATCAGTGTAGTAGTTTGGAAAGACACAAGGCTTGAGTAAATAATGTGAGAAGCCCAATTTGTTATGTGATCTATGTCAGATATTACACCATGTTGTGTTTTATTTTGAAGTGGTCCTAATTGGAGACTCTGGTGTGGGGAAGAGTAACCTGCTGTCTCGTTTCACTCGCAATGAATTCAACCTCGAGAGCAAAAGCACTATTGGAGTGGAGTTCGCCACACGTAGCATTCAGGTGGATGGAAAGACCGTCAAGGCTCAGATCTGGGACACGGCAGGACAGGAGCGCTACCGAGCCATCACTTCAGCGTAAGACTTATTACAGATTCCAGTTTTAAAGTTTAACTGCCTGATCATAGCAAAGATCTCTATAGAAGTTATTTTAATCTTGTGATATTCCTCCAAAACACAACTTAAACACAATGGCAAAGACAAACAATATTGTACACTGATATAGTTAAGCATATTTGAGACTATAGATTAATTAACACCTTTTTTTTGACATTACTGTACAGAATGACACTTGTGCATTATCGTTGTGTAAGCATTTATTTCATGCATCATAAAACAGAAAAGAGGCTCTGGAGGGTACATCTTTGAGTTTTTGAGCAAAAATGTTTAAAATCCTTTACATAAAAAGCAGTTAACAGGCTTAACCCTAGGAATACTGGTGAGGCCAATTTTTTTAAGGTACATTAATTAATATGTTATCCGTACTCCAAACAAAATTCATATATAGCCCTTTTATTTTCCATCTTCATTTGATTTGCTGGCTAACAGGTATTACCGTGGAGCTGTGGGGGCCCTCCTAGTGTATGACATCGCCAAGCATCTGACCTATGAGAATGTGGAACGCTGGCTTAAGGAGCTCCGAGACCACGCAGACAGCAACATTGTCATCATGCTGGTGGGCAATAAAAGTGACTTGCGTCACCTTCGGGCTGTGCCCACTGACGAAGCACGTGCATTTGCAGGTTAGAAGTGAACCATTAACTCCTGATAGTGCTGCTTGTGTGTATTGCTGAGGCATTAATCCATACTCTTCCACTTTTTTGCAACCATATTTGCAGAGAAAAACGGTCTGTCCTTCCTAGAGACCTCAGCTTTGGATTCCACCAATGTAGAGACTGCTTTTCAGACCATCCTGACTGGTGAGTGTTCTTTCCAAAAACCTTTTTCAGCAGATACTTATCAGTGTGCAAGGTTAAGGATGGTAAACTTTTGTTTTTGTAATGGCAGCATTTTTCTTGAAGAAATACAGGCTTGAGGAAATGACTGTGTTAGTCTAAACTGGGAGAAAAAGAGATGGTAAATGATTGGCCGAAGGCCATATCCTTATGAATGACTCATCAAAAGCCCTGCCTTGGTCGGGTAGGTTTCTCTGGCCTGACGTGACTGCCATAGAGAGTTTCTGTCGTCTTTTGCTCCTCTGTTCAGCTCCTGGCATCTGCAGAGGAAGAACAAATAATAAATGTTTCAGAGGCATTGCTGTCAGTTGCGATGCTGTAATTGCATCGGCCCTGACATCCAGTAATAACAGCACGGATGTATGGCAAAACAAAGTTCATATACAAGTTTTTGATTGTCTTTCTGTCCTGCAGAAATCTACCGAATCGTATCCCAAAAGCAGATGTCTGACCGCCGAGACAATGACATGTCACCTAGCAACAATGTGGTGTCCATCCAGGTGCAACCTACTGAGAATAAACCAAAGATGCAGTGCTGCCAGAGCATCTAGCAACTCCTGTACCGAATCCACCCCCCCCCCCCCCCCAAATCCCCCACACGCCCACCTGCAACACCCCCTCCTCCCCTCCTCTTCAAGACTGCTTTGGGTCTGAGATGCAGCTGCACAACTAGGCTTGAGCACAGAGGCCGGTTCCAAAGCTGAGTCTCAAAGGGTCACCACCTGCAGTCTGGACTAAGCTTGTTGTTTTTTTGGTTGTTTTTTTTTTCGGTTGGTTTTCTCCTTCCTGCCATGGTAGGCTTTTATATTGCAGAATTTTAATAATCATTTGTGCCGATCTTCACTGAAATGTCTTAATATATAATTTCATTCGCAAACGTGTGAGGTTCGCTCATGTATGTCTTTAGTAGCAGCCCCCTCGTCACTGTCGTGTCTGGGGTGGAGGGGAGAAACGTGCAGTATTGGAGGTTTTGCTATATTTAATGTTGTGATTGTAGAGAGATGATGTACCTGATAGATGTTAGATGATGATTAGGGCCCAAAGACCACAGTCTTCACCTTTTTTGTCCATCTTCCAAGTATGGTTTACATTCGCATTCACACTTCCTTCATGCATTCGGCACGGGGCGGCATTAAATTTCACCATCAGGCACGTAGCTTCTGCGCTCTTTTCCCTTGGCCATCATGTGCTTCTTTTGCATTGAGGTAGATTAGTGGTTTTAGTGCCTTTTTTGATGAACGTCACGTGCGGATGCTTTCATGCATGTGCTTTACTGCTGTCCGTGCCGGTGCTGCGAGGCCTTCATCACACGCTCGAATATAGTCTAATAGACCTTCTCTTTCGCTGTCACCAGCCCTTTCAGCTGTAGTCTTGGAGAAGCTTCAGTTTCTAATAAACAAAAACTGATGTCATAATTCATGAAGAGGGGAATGTTGTATTTGAAACACTACCACAAATGTTTTCAGTGTGAAATGAGGGAAAAGAGACTTCCTCTACATGTAACATGTTCATAACCGCAAACACGTCATGATTTTGCAGGTCACACTCTGGCATTAAAGTCATGGTTCACCTAAAAATTGAAATTCTGCTGTTTGTTTACTGACTATATTTCATCAGTAGAATGTCAGAACAGATCTTTTTTAGTGGAAACTACAGCTTAGTCTTTTAAAAAAACAAAATAAATACCTTTGGCTCCTGATTTCCTGAGCAAACTAAATGTCGAGTGAAAGTATGATCCACCAAAACAAAGGTTTCAGCTAAAAATCTACTTTAATTATCTACCAAAGGTAAAAAGTCAGGTAAATCAGCAGCGAATGTTCAGTTTTAGTTGAACTATCCTTGAGAGTCAGAACAAGAAAACATAAAACAGCGGCCAGTCGATGGCCACATCACATGAGAGCACTCTAGGGAATAGACTGGATACTTTCTTTCTTTATTTTTTTGCACTGAATGTAAAATATATCCCGATTAGATTTTTTTTTCCCTCCCGCCACTACAGTAGTAATGACCTTAAGACGTGTAACTTATATTTATTCTGTGGTAGTCATTTAAATCCAGTTGTTAGCCTTCAATCTGGATGCGATGGGACTCGTTAAGATAATTTCTGAATGTATTATGTGTTTTAGCCTACACAATGTCTTCGTCTTGATTCCAGCAGATGGGGCAAAACCACCACAAGCTGTGATGCTCGTCTTCGCTTAATGGCTGTCTGCTCAATTTACTCGGTGTGACGTGAAATATCAGTAAAGGCTGAACTAATAATGCATGTTATATAACGGGTGACCTCGGAGAGGAAGAATACTGTAGACCTCAGCATCTTAGTCTGCAAATCCCGAAGTCATTTATTTTCACTTTGGATATCGATCCCTTTGACTTTAATTAGCCGAGCCCTAGGTAAAAAAAAAACAACAACATAGTTTGCTACGATCATTCTTAACAGTATGAGAACACATTCCAGGTGGAATCGAAGGCCCTTAAAGGCTGCAATGTAATTAGCCAATCAGACTGAAGCGACATTACTGCGTAAGTGCATGTGAGTCATTTTACTGTTTCCTATATCTCCTAAAGTTAAACTCTAGATCTTCTAAGCAACACATCGAGGTTATTACAGTACTTGTCTCCATCGGAAAGAAAACGCCTCATGATTTTACGAGCGTTAGGGTCTGTTAGCGTCGACTTAGTGACCCTGACTCTGATTGTAAGACTGTTCTTTAAAGGCAGGGGTCTCTGGTGCTAACAGGGGCCAGTGCCAATGATGTGAGGGTACAGATGGCACAACCATGACCTGCCCATGCACTGCACATAGCTGGCGTGATTACCGGATATTACTTTTTCTGACTGTCGGATCTTTCACGTATTGCCTCCAGAATCTCATTTCTTTTTCCTTTCTTTTGTCTGCACTGTACTGTGATTTACTTTTTTATTGTTATGATTATACTATTACTCTTGTCCACTGTAATTCCAATTTAAAAGAGCAAATAAAAATATGTAGTTAATTCAAAACGCTTCTGTGTTGCTCATAAATTAAGGCTTTCTTTAAGCACAGAGTTGTCATTTCACGCGGTTTCTTTACCAAAAGTGATTTTATTTGTCAAAACTTTATTTTAAAGGCATAGTTCACGCAAAATGATCAGTTTGTCATTATTTACTCTAGTTGTTTCAAACCTGTTTGACTTTGTTTTCTTCTGTTAAACATAAAAAAAGGATGTTTGGCACAAAGCTGGCAGCCTGTATAGTTTTACTTCCATAATATTTGTTTTTTTCTTTTAAAGTCAATGGTTACATTGATTTTGAACAATATTTTTGTGTTCAAAAGAAGAAAGAAACTCTTAAAATAGGGTGTCCGCGGTGTCTTAAGTTTTAGAAAGTCTTAAATCACAAAAGTTAGTCTTAAATCTACCGAAATGTTGTAGGTCTTTAATCTTTTTTTAACCGGTCTTAATTGTTCTTTGTTCATGTATAGCTTGCCAATCTGGCCATTAACACCCATACAATCACCAACAATCCATCTCAATATAACTTCACTTTTTATTTTAAAGTGGCATTTAATTACGCTATAGCATATACTTACTGCTGAGGATACTGACCTGACCTACACTTTTTTTATTATTAAATTATTATTATTGTAAGCTGAAGTAATTGACAGCTATGTTTGGTTCTATTCTTGGTAAGTGTTATTGGGTTTGTGAATGGATGTATTTTATAATTAATAAAAAAATACTCAAACATAAATATTATTATTGTATTATTAAATTAATAATTTTTCATAGGATTTTTTTTTGTAATCGGGATATTTAAAAAAAATCTAACTAAAATGTTATTCAGAATGGTTTAAAAAAATTTCTTAAATTTTACTTGGTGAAACCTGCAGAAACCCTGTAAAAGTTTGGAACCACTTGAGGGTGAGTAAAGCCATGGTTACACCCCATAGACTTCCATTCAAATGAATGCGACGTGCAACAAGTTTCGCAGTTCGCCATGTTGCAAAGTTCAAGCTTGGTAATCTCTGATCTGTGAAATCAAAGATCAAATCATGACATCAGTGTCTAGATATTTAAAATCTGGACCAATCACTTGCTGTTTTGTAATGTCTAGTCATCTTGTTTAATCCCGCCCCTTTTTGCAGCTCTGTACGACAGAATTTTGCATGCACAAACTCAAGTGTGACCATGGCATAAATAGAGTAAATTTCCATTTTTGGGTGAACTATTTAACTTAAGGTGTCCTTGTTACTCATGTTCCATGTATTACTATAGTAATAAATTAATTACATCAATACTTTAGTAGTTACTATAGTATTATTACACATGTTCTATGTACTTACTGTATTAATTATAATGCTAACCCTATGGCTGCATTTATAAGCCAGCAGTGTAGCCAAAAATGCGAAGGTTTTTTTCTCGTGTTTAAAAAGAAAGGTATCACATTTACGCAACACTGTTTTTAAAACTTTCCACATTTACACATCTGCAAAAACATCCAAAAATGCTGCACTACATTGTTCATTGCCAGTGTTTAGTGCTGTGACTGTCACTTTAATATCTGTAAGTGACAATGTGTCGTTTATATGATGTCTCAATTTTTGGTTGCATACTGAAAAAAAATAATTTGCTGTTTATTTCATAAAAATGTAAAATGAGCTGAAACAACACATTTCTTGAGTTTTTTTTGTACAACAATCTTATTGTTTTATGTTCTATACACTCAAATTTGTTAACAATAATAAGTAAACTTAATTCCTTCATGTTGTCCCAATACAAATCAATTGTGTTGAACCCAACATTTTTAGTGTAAAGTGAATACGTTACACTTTGCTAACCAAGCAGTAGGTAACATTTAAGAAACAACACTACTATATACACTCACCTTATTAGGTACACCTGTCTAACTTATAACTCAACTTCTTCTTCTCAACTCAATGCATTTAGGCATGTAGACATGGTCAAGATGATCATCAGAATGGGGGAAAAAAGGTGATTTAAGTGACTTTGAACGTGGCATGGTTGTTGGTGGCAGACGGGTTGGTCTGATCCACTGGGACTTTCACGCACAACCAACTCTAGCATTTACAGAGTGAAAAATAAAATATCCAGTGAGCGACAGTTCGTTACAACCGAGGTATGCATAGGAACATATCTGAACGCATACACAACACGACAAACCTTGAGGCAGATGAACTACAGCAGCAGAAGGCCACACCAAGTACCACTCTTGTCAGCTAAGAACAGGAAACTGAGGCTGCAATTGGCACAGGCTCACCAAAATTGGACAATAGAAGATTGGAAAAACGTTGCTTGGTCTGATGAGTCTCCATTTCTGCTGCGACATTCAGATCGGGTCAGAATTTGCCATCAACAACACGAAAGCATGAATCCACCTTTCCTTGTATCAACAGTTCAGGCTGGTGATTGTGGTGTAATGGTGTGGGGGATATTTTCTTGGCACACTTTGGGCTCATTACTACCAATTGAGCATCGTGTCAATGCCACATCCTACCTGAGTATTGTTGCTGACCACGTTCATCCCTTTATGACCGCAGTGTACCCATCTTCTGTTAGCTACTTTCAGCTTTTAGCTTACTTTTTTGATGTGCAGCCGTAAAATATGCAGCAACTGCGTGATGCTATCATGTCAATAAGGGGCAAAATCTCTGAGGAATATTTCCAGTGCCTTGTTAAATATACACCACAAAGGATTAAAGCAGTTCTGAAGACAAAAGGGGTCCAACACTGTACTAATAAGGTGTACCTAATAAAGTGGCCGGTGAATGTACTCTGCCAGTGTTGTTTGTTCACAACACAGCTTTCATAGACTCTCATTATCGGATGTTTACACACTCAACAATGCTGGTGTTTTTTTTGTTTTTTTTTCAAAAACTTGCACTTTGTTTCCAGATTTCAAACATTGTTTATGTAAACAAACAAGGAAAAAAAAAGAAAAAAAAAACCCTTTTATTTTTGGCTGAAAACATGTCAACCTAACCTGCTTTCTAACCATACAGTAATTAGCTTAGTAGTTAAATGAATAGTTACACTGTAACAGGGACACCTTAAAATGTTACTTTTTATTTTCATAAATTATGTCATGAAGTGAAACTATTAAACTATTTGTTAAAAAAAAACCTAGAAAAGCATAAGGAACCACTATTGAGCTGTAGAGCTGCTAAATGTTTTGTTTTCCTCCTTTTATTCATGAATGATTGTCACTATGCTATTGCTAATTTGATGGAATGCAGTCACTAGAACAAAACTCCAAAGCTGTAATCATCAAACAAAGCAAAACACAAGGAATGAATGGGACACGTCTCCAAATCTATTTGTACTATACTTTTCTTTTTTTTTTAGGACGCATATGAGGTCTCGTCCTGTCATTAGCCTCTGTTGACATAAGAGCTAACATATAATGTCGACTTTATATATTAATACTGTGCACCAATAGCACAAGCACATGAAAAGAACTGGTCACTATGAGTAATCATCATTTGTTCATCATGCTACTTTTTAAATATGTTCAACTTTTACACTATAAAGAAAACCATCACTTCTGCACAAACAAGGTATAAATAAACATCATAAATACAACAGAGGTCTTTAAAAATGTAAACGTACATAGAACAAACTAAACGTGATAGCTTCGAAAAGTGTAACACAAACGTAATACACACTCAAAGAATC